AAACCTGGTCAGACATTTGTTCACAGACTATGACAAAAGTAGATTTCCTAAGAGAATAATCAAATAATGTCCTGTGAAATATGATTCTTCATAAACTAGGACATAATTAAAAATGCCTGCTTTAATTTTTAAATTTACATAAAATATACTTAGATTTTGGACAGAAATATTTTATTCAAATTAAATTTTATTTATATAAAAGGGGGTAAGTAAGAAAGGTTGGTGAGATAGTGAGGATAATGACCCCCAAAGAACTCCACATCTTCATTTCTACAACCAATTAATATGTTACCTTACTTGGCAAAATGGGCTGGGGTATGTTAGACTAAGGACAGGGGGATTATTTGGATTATCTCAGTGCATCCATTGTATTTACAATGGTCTTTAATAGTGGAGGAGAAAGCTAGAGAAGTCAGAACCAGATGTGACTCTGGAAGGAAGACACAGAGAGATTAACTTTAGTGGCTTTGATGATGGAAGGAGGGGTAATGAGCCAAAGAACATGGATGGCCTCTAGAAACTGGAAAGATCAATGATATGAATTTTCCTCCAAAGGCTTGAGAAAAACAAAAACAAAAACCCAGTCCTAGTGACAGAGTGATTCTAGCCCAGTGAGACTATGTTAGATTTCTATGTACAGACTGTAAAAGAATAAATTTGTATTACTTATGCTGCCAATTTGTGGTAACTTATGGTAACTGTTATAGAAAACTAAAGCAGTTAAGCTAGCCTTTCTGTCAAAGTGGCAGACTGAATATTAGCATTTATTTCTGCTGCTTCCTAAAACACTGAAATAATAGTAGAGAAATTTTAAAGGCTTAGCAGAGCACAGAGGTCAGGAAATGAGATAGTGGCAAAAAATCAAACAAAAAACTAAACAAAAAAGCTTCTTTGAAAGTCTGTTTTACAGGCACACTTTCCTTTATTTATTTATATTTTTAGTTTAACTCAAATTGTTGATTGTTTCACATGTTGGCAGAAAATGATGAAGGTTTAGTTTTGGATGTGGATGAAACATTGTTTACAATGTGGGATCCTCAGCACACTTGAAGATGGGAATCCTGTTCTACCGCTGGTGAAGGTGATTACAAGGGCTTTAGCTGGGCAATGTGATTGACCTTAAATAAGAAGCCTTAAGATACCAATCTCGGGTAAACAGTCCAACCATGTCACTTAACATTGAAGACCAAGGGTGGACTTACCCCATTCATTTGCACAGAGCCTCAGTGATTATGTAATTGACCCACTAGAAAACAGAGTCAAAATTGTATACATTAGAAAGTACTAAAAATAGATGTGATGCAGGAAGAAGACACATTTCAAAGAATTGATATTTTATACTTTGGTGTAGGCCTACCACCAAAAGTCTAGTTTCCTTCTGTTACTATATTTGACCATTTACCCCATTCACCCTCCCCCTACTTCTTTCCCTTCTGGTAAGCAGCATTTTGTTGTCTACATCTATGTTTGTTTTAGTTTTGTTTGTTACTCTTTTGTTTTATAGTCCACATATGAATGACATAATAAAGTTTTTGTCCTTTTGAAATACTCTGTGATTAATAATTTTAAATAATTGATTCTAGATTCATGATATAAGAAAAAGACCATTTTAAAAAAGTTTTTATTTATTGATTTTTAGTGAGAGGGGAACAGAGGGAGAAAGACAGGGAAAGAAACATCAATGTGTGGTTGCCTCTTGCACACTTCCTACTGGGGACCTGACCTGCAATCCAGGCCTGTGCCCTGACTGGGAATGGATCCAGCAACCCTTTGATTCACAGGTCGGCACTCGATCCACTGAGCCACACCAGCCAGGGCCCTTATTAAAAAACAAATATTTAGATTGCAAAAAGAAATTAAAATCTTGGCGGAGAAATAAAATCAAATAAATAGACATAAACTGAAAGTCATAAAACAAATTAAGAATGTCTTCATGAAAGTAGAAAATGCACAACAATAACAAAGGAAGAAATATTAAGAAAATTGAAAATCAGTCCAAGATTTCCTAAATCCAAATAACGGAAATTTTATAAAGCAAAATAGAGGAAGATAGAAGGATGCAAATAAACAATTTAAGACCCATCTTGAAGGTTATGAGTTTGCAGGTTGAAAAGGCACACTTAGGCAAAACATACTGAAATTTAAGAACAGTGAGGAAAATTAGAATATTCTTAAAATTTAAGTTTACAAGGAATTAAATAAAAATCAGAGTGTGGTCAGACATTGAAAACCAGAAAAGAAAGGGACAATGGTCACTGAAATTTTGAAAGGCAGTGATTTCTACACTAGACCAATCTATTAATATTAATTATGTAGAACAAATTGATTTATTTAAAAAACCAAGGTCTCAAAAATTTAGTACCGTATGTTTTTATGAGAAGCTTCTAGAAAATGTCTCATGAAAACAAAGGAGTAAACCAGGAAAGATGAAAACATATGTCCCATTAAACAGGGATTCTACACTGAGAATGCCTGGAATGGAGTTCCCCAGCATGAGGATAAAGGGAGACGCCAACGCAAGAGCTCTATGGCAGACTTAAAAAGTTTCACAAATTGAGCAGGTCAGAATGCTTTGGTCGAGGAAGATAAAATTGCTCAGGTATCTAATGTGTTTGGTGAATTAATGGGAAAATACTTGGGAAAGACACTGTGGTCAGACTAATAATAAATTTAAACATAAATAAGAAAGATAAAACAAGACAGTTATCCATTCTAAAAGGGAAAAGCCATGATGGGTGAGAAAAATTATCAAAACACATGGGTTTAATTGTTACAGCACTTAATGAGAACACTGATGATTAGTCTGATTAAAACATGATACAACAACATTGGAGATTTTGTTGGGGTAAGGTGGGTGTGGTGGAGGCGTAGTAGGTAGTAAGGGTTGGAGAAAAAGATGGGATCTTTACTACCTCAGTTAAAAGCAAATAGATAATGTCCCCAAATGAAAAATCAAAATGGGAACAACTGTAGCTGAATAACAATATTAAAAAAACAAAAATAAAAAATTTAAAAATTAAAAAAAAAGAATACGTAGGGATTTGCATGTAAGTAACAATAGAACCACTCAAAAGAGCAGGGACTTCTCATGTTCATAGATTTAATTTAATTAAACAGACTACATGGCCTATTTGAGAGTTTTTTCCAGTGTAAAATTGGGACAATCTTTACCATATAGAGTTGTGAAGATTCAAATAATGTGTGCAGATCACCATGCAAATGACTGACATTTGAAGCTGGGAAAGGTTAATGGGAGTTCTGGAGGGACTCTAAGTAAGTGATGGGAAGATAATGGGCCCTGCCATACTTGTCTACAGCACGCACCGATCATACATAGCCCAAGATTTCTGAGACATTCATGATTTCTAGACAACTTTTCAGAGAAGAAAATCAGAATTTGGAAAAAAAATTCTACTAAATGATGAGGACCATCTTCTTTGAACTCCTCTAGGGCAGAAGCTACAGGAACTTAGCTTTTTGAATTAATTCTGAGAGGCACCAGGGAGTTGAGCATATTGCACATTACAGAGCTGGTCTTCTCCAAAATTAGGAGTGCACTTTTTCTATGGAAATCTTTCAAAAAGAATTAACTGAACACTTTTTTAAAATGTGATTTAATATTTAAGCAAAAATAGGAAAACAGTGCATTTGTGTGCTGTACTTACTATGCCTTTTAAAACAATGGCTCAGCAAAGGAAAAGATGTTCATGAAACTTCTTCCAAAAAATCCAGAATGCAAATAACATGCGTTAAATTCAGGTTCCATGTTGCTGAAGTATCTCACAAATACAGAGCTAAAATAAAAATTAACTTCAAGGACTGAATTGTGATGAATTAAATCAGTACCTTTTAAGAGTTAAGAGTCTTATGATAAAAACACTAAATCAAGAAATATGAATAATTAACTGTTGGAAAGTAGAAAAATAATGAGCACACTTTAAAAATTAAACCTTAATCATGTTTTGAAAGTTTAGTAGTTTTCATGAAACTGAAGTTTCAGTATCGAATACAGGAGTTTATACTTATGTCACCTAAATGACCTGTACATTTAAATAATTGCAAATTGTATGTCAGGCAATGTAATTAGTTTGATGCTAATTTGAAGATATACATATATATATGTGTGTGTGTGTGTATGTGTGTGTGTATGTATATACAGATACATACATATACACACACACATATATATATAAAATTCAGGCACAGCTACTGAAGTAGAGATCACAGATGTGCAGTGCAGTCAAGGTGAACTCTCTTCATAGTATGGATTGGTAGAAAATCTCATAATACAAATAGCATGTAAGACACCTTCCCCATAATCTAATTCTTCCTCCCATAGAAATAATCCATTGTTTCCACCTTGTTTAGACAAAGTGGCTCTTGAGCCATCAGACAACTAAATAATTTTACAATATTTTAAGCCACTATAAATGATTGTAATATGGCTTAAGAATTTTCCTGAAATAATTAATGATAAAATATCCTTACTTTTCTTTTGGTAAATATTACATAAGAATATTCACATATTGCTAAAAAGGATGAATATTTAAAATTGAGGATAAGCATTATCAAAATAATTATATGTCTTTTATTTATATCATTTGATAAATACAATGAAATATTTTATCATAACAGGAGCTATACTATGAAAATCCCATAGAAAGAGTTTATTCTGCAGTTGTTAAGTAGTTAGTGAGGTCAATGAACTCATTACATTTGCTTTCCAACAGTCACCATATCGGTGGGCTGTAATTTTTCTTGGGTCAAGTTGACTTTTACTGTCTTTGATTTGAGCTCTTATAACTTCCTGAATTGGGAAAACTAGAGGTTCATTATTTATTCGGTCAATAAAATGCATAACTATTCACTGAAACCATGTCATGTGCAGATTGAACAAATGTTACACAAAACCACTTTGATAAGAAGTCTTCCAGGCTGAAATATATGAAACCGAGATGATTTTGTTTGGAATGATCAGTGTCAAAAAAAATCAGCAAAAGGAGAAGAAAACAATTCTTTATTTTTATCCAAATATATTAGACTTTATAATTTAGTTAGTTTCAACAAAAACATAAAGTCACCATAAAATATACAAACCAAGACGCTCTAAGAGTGAAAGGGAGTGCTGTAATAATTACACAGGCACAACAGGGAAAACCGGAACTCTCCTGGGTAAACTGGGTCCTATGATCAACTTTGCAATAGGGGTTACACTGCAATTACATGCAGGAATCATACCTTTCCTATACACATGTGCTAAAAATAAAGGAATAGCATTCATTGAGAAATGTTAATTTTGACAACGGTGTTTCTCATCATCCAGGTCTTTAAGTATCACCCCCTCCTTAAACCAGTCACCTGTTCTAAAATAATGTTTTTATATCACCCAGTCATTTTTTCATGTTACCTTGTTTTTCTTCCTTTAGCTTCTAACTTGACTGTCTGAAATCATCTCATTGGTACTTCTGTCTATCTCACAGTGTCCCCTCCCATTCTCCTACTGATATGCATTGTTCAAATAGGCAGTGACCTCCTTTGACTTAGTCATACCCAAATCCCCCAGGAGCTAGAAATGCCTGGGCCATAAAAGACATGCAAAAAATTGTTAAATGAATTAATGAATACATTTGGAGAGTTTACTTTTGGGCCCATATTCTCCTTGGTACCAAAGACAAAATAACTCTCCAAATTAAAGTATGGCTCTATTTAGTTTTAAGTGTTTGGACTAAATATTCTATGCAATTTCTTCCACTGGTAATAAATATAATATGACCCCTGGACTCCCTTCTCTTTCTGCTACTATTTCCTTTTTTATTATCTAGCAAAAAGGAAAGTTTGGAGATTAAGGGTCATGGCAACCAGCTCTGTTCACAGTGGATGGATGCTCATTTTGCCAGCAACAATTCCCTGGTATATGTTTGCACCTACAGAATTTGGTTGATACAGAGGTAGCCAGAAGATATTATTGTAGTCAATACGAGAATTGTGGATGTAACAATTTTCCAATAAGGAAATTATTACGAGATTGCTAAGAATGGGAAATGATGAGTGCCCAAACCAACCATCAAGGATTTACACATTACTGTGGATAGCTAGATTCATTATGGGTAGACTTGGATTGCAATGATCCCAACAGTTTTATATGAAAATCCATGATATTCTGATAAGAAGCACTTGTAAATTTTCATAAAAATCTCTGCATTCCAAATATTTGTTTTGTAGGTGTTCTACTGAGCAGTAGTTTTGATATCCTAACTAATCATAAATATAAAACCTTAGTGTTAAAAAAATAGTCCTGCTAAAATTATTTTGGTAGGCCAGGGATCCAACACACTAATAAAATCAGTGCTTAACCAACCAAATAATAACAGTAAAAAAAAAAAAAAAGCCAAAAAACCCACGGATGAGTAAACTATTTTCAATTCATTTACTTTGAAATTCTCTCCAGTATGCACCAAACATTCCTCCTGAACCAAGTGACAGGTGAAGGGTGGGATAGGTTCTGCAGGGGAGAAAATAAAGGCTGTCCTATTACAACAAATAAAAGTCATAAGAAACTTGGAGGGAACACTTTGTAACATGTATGAATGTCCATCTGCTGTCCTGCACACCTGAAACTAATACAAAAAAAGTGTTGAGTGAAAATTGTGGATGAAAAATAAAATTTTTTAAAAAGCTCTGAAAAAAAGAGACTTGATTAGACATACATATTTAAAGCATAACTATTTACCATTTGTTTCATTGTACTGTTATATCTCCTCAAGATAAGTTATTGGTTTTTAAAATGACAGAAGTTTTAGAGCAAAATAAAAACTGAATGATTTTGAAACAGGGACCGTTAATTGTGTAATTTCACACAGGCTCTTGTATATTCAACATAACTCGGCCACTGACTATCACAATGACTCAGCATTTGTTCAGAGCTCGTATTTGTGTTAGATCATATACAAAACAGATATCCAGAATTTAATTAGTCCAGGAGAGGACCAATTCCCAAATTAATCTATGTTTATTTCCCCCCAGTACTAGCAAGTTTCAAAAATTATAAAAGTTTTCAGCATATTGATATGCTCTAAAACTTATGAGTTAAATACATTTTTGCAGGGTCATAAATAGCACAGACTTGTGGGACTCCCTTTTATAAAATACAATTGAAAACTTTCCACAACCTTAAACAGCAGAAAACATTAAATCAGATTTTAAAATGACAAATAATTTAAGGCTAAAATATTTGGTATTAATAATTAATGCCAGTAGCCTTCCTAGCATAATAAATAAACATGCACAAGAACTACAACTTTGAACAAAACATCACAATTTTATCAGATATATATGTATGTATGCATGTGTGTATGTTCATATGTGTGTGTATAAATATATATGTATATACTTATACACACATATATACAGTTTTATCGCCCTGAAAAATATCCACTCATGTTTGGCTTAATACATATGTATGTTAGAAATGTCATGGAGAGTACCACTCCTTTAAATATATATATATATATATATTTTTTCCAGAATATACAATATAAATATACCATATATAAATCATGCCATAAAACTAAATGCAAAATTTGCACATTATTGCATGCATGATGTGATAATACATGCCCGTTAATAAGAATTTCCTTATGATGTTCTCCCTTCACAACTTTGCTTTCTGCACAGTAGCAAGACTTGGGAAGAAAAGGTTCTCAAGTAAGCATATATGACTTCGGGGGGGTGGAATTTAATTTTCAGATTCCTTAGAGAGGATTACCTCATCAGCCAAATATTAGATTATTACTAAATCAAATAGTAAATAATGCCTACGGTGGTGTTTGTTATGTGAATCGATCGGAGTTCATTTTTCTTAATTTGGCTGGAAGATTCCCTTCCATCCTGGAGGCTCCCCCAGCCATCTTTTGAAGCTTTGGTGGCAAATCAGCCACTGACTGGCTCATGGGATCAGACAACATCTTGGTGGTTTTAGATACCAGTTTTTCTTCTGAGTTACCCGGAACTGAACTTATTCGCTGAAGTTTCATGGGCAAATCTCCCAAGCTGTAGGCTTTTTCTGAAGTTGTAGAACTCATCCTCAAGAGTTTTTTGGGAAAGTCTTCTCTTCCAGTAATTTTCTGCAGCTTAGATGGAAGTTTTGTGCTAATGTCTTCTAGTCCATCTAAGCAATCCACAGAATTATGTCTTTCTTTGCTGTTAGTTATGGAAGGTGCTATTAAAGGGGACGACATGAGAAGCATTTCCTCCTGTTCTTTCACACTGTAAGGTGGGGTGGGGACTTCAAATGTTGCGTGAAACTGAGAGTAATCAACTTTAAAGAATCCTTCTTCTAAGGAAATTACAGGGAAAAAACGATGACCCCAAAGAACTTCATCTTCAGTGTATGACGTTCGAGCTTGACAAGTCATCCCTACAAGCAGAAAGAAAATCCTTGAAAAATTATGCATAGTGGAAGCACAAGTAAAGCTAGATAGAACTAAGGAATTTATCTTGCTTTCTTATTTAAAATTTGGACTCTTGATCTGAGTAGAATGAGTAATAGTATCTGTTGAAAGTTTTCATATAAATTGACAGTTTAGAGGCATATACTTTCTTCCAATGAAAAACACAGGGCACTAACACTTTCATGTTTAGAAAGTAATACATCTGAAGCATAGTTAATTGTTTATTTAACAATAAACCAAAGTAAAAGGGCACTGAATACCAACATATGTGTCTTTATAAGATGATAGGGAGAAATCATAATCATTTCCCATCTTTCAAAAACCAATGTGATATGAAGCAAAACTGTCTTTGAATCCAATCATTACCATGACATAAACTTATGAAAGATACTTTACTGAGCATCATTTTCCTATTCTGTTGAGTAAAGCAAGAAAAATAACACCTGTGCCACAGGACTGCTGTGGACATAAAATATAATAATGTAAAGTCTGCTCTTAATAAATGACAGCAAAGACAGCACAAGTATTTGCTAAATACATAGAAGTTGGATATATTTCGATGTTGGATAATGCCTTTTTCCTAATTAGTAGTAATTATACATACAATACTGAGAATAAAATGCATAATTAAAAATCATATTAAACATAAATCCTGTACTGATTCTTTCCAAACTTGTGCTTTATATTATCAGTTACCTATACCAAAGGATATGTTATTACCACTTATAATACTGTATTTTTTTGTTAAGAAAGTTTTAAAAGAAACACATAGAAAACAAATGCCTGTCATATCTCAGGCACTGTTAGGTGTTTGCTGTAATCCTCAGTATCATCACAATATGAAAAGATTCTTATGTCCATTTTTAAATCAGGAATACACTGCTCAAAGAGATGAAATCTTTTGACTTTCTTTGGGAACAGATCTAGGAAGCTGTAGGGGGAAAAAAGCTGTATTATTTTAATTTCTTGGTTGTTTCTGTTTTTATTTTGCCATGCTGTCTTTATTCTTTTGTTAGAAACCCAAGTCTAAACAATCTATCAATTTAAATATCACAGTGGAAATCTGATAGTGACCAAATATTAGTCTTGATAATCAATATTATATCAGGAATAGACACCAGAAATATTTATATATGATAATATTACTTTAAAAACTACTTTGTTACATGTTTAGACATACATGCGGTGACATGATATATTTTCAAACAACTTTCTAGTCTCAGACTAAATATTCCAAGAGAAAAAAGTAAATATTGTCACTCATTTGAAAAATATATATTCCTGATATAATTACTTGGTGTTATTTTGAGAACTTTAAAGATTCAGCAAAACACCTAGAATAAAAAACAAATAGTCCTGTCCATTGAGATATAAAATATTAAACATAAAACTAATAACATAATTATGAGTTGTTTTAAATGTAATCTTTACTGTATTTTTCCATTACCATTTAGCCCCCTTATAGCCCTGCCCCCCAGCAATCACCATACTGTTGTCCATGCCCATGAGTCTTTTCTACCTTTTCAATTAATCTTCAGAAGCATCCACTAGGTATACAGAGGGTCAGGTGGAAGTAAGGCCTGCTGGAGTGTGGTTGGTAGGGTAATAATATGGGTGTAATGATTTATAGTTTTAATTTGAACATTTCACCTAAAATGTCATATAGTGTGCTTGAGTGTGATATTGTTATATTACAAAATTACATGCTTATGATTTGTAATAAAAGATTCTGTAATAAAAAAGAGATATTATTTGTGCTGGACCCTGTGTAAATATATCTTAAATATATTAAGTGTTGAATTTCAGATCATAAATTTGTCCAATTATTTCTAACAATAAACACTGAAACAAAATTTAAATCACATTCCCATCTTAGCCCATTTAATTTAATGACTTTTTATTCACATTAATAAAAATATGAAATTAAAAAACATAATTTTGTTCCTATTATTTACCATGATAATATAACATGTATGAAGCAGAAAATGGGGAAAATAAAAATGTGTAAAATTATTATGGTGCTTAGGGTGCAATGACATCTACAGTGGAACAAGTTATCCCAAACGTTTGCTCACATAAATGTGTCTGTAGGCACTGTTACTAAAATGCTAATGAATGTTCTCGACTAAAGGTGGAGATTTTATTATACTACATCTAATGACCTTGACTTCATTCCATACCAAACTAATACTTGTGAAGCAACATCTTTATATAATTAAAAATTATATGAATTTGGCTACCAATTCCACTACTAAATAGCTTATCAAAATTATCTAAAACTCTTTGAACCTCCATTATATTTTTTACAAAATACTTTTATAACACTGTTGAGAACAGTGCTGGGCATTAAGGCAATGCTCGATGAGTAAGGACTGCTGTTTTTATTATGCTGTAGTGACCACTTGCAATTCCCATTCTTCCTGGAAATTAGAGATATTAAATAAATATAAAAGAAAAATTCTGACATATTAGTCATTTGTCTCATGTGAGAAATATAGAAAATCGAATTGAAAAATCACTAGATATCAGATAGCAAGTATCTTTTTTGAAATGGTAAACATTCAAAACATTTTACAATATATAAAAACATATTACTTATATTTCCAACATTTAGGATTACTCAATATTTCCCACCTAAGAGACTAAGTGTGGAATCTTAGGTGTACCAAAAAGGTCTGCAGCAAGCCCAGTGGCTAAATTTATTATAATACTTTGGTAACTCTACCAATAATATTTCCAAATATTTTAACCTTTTGTTTTTCTGCTATTCCTTTTACTCTTTTATTAGATGTCAGTACACAAATATCAGACACTTCCACTTTAGCAACATTACATAGTTTCTATACATGGTTTCACCTCTGAATACTAATGTGCAATGAACCTATGGATACCAATATGAAAGCATTAGAATGTGGATAACAGGAAAATGTCTCTGCTGGTCAATATGTAGTTTAGACAATGTGCTAACATAACATGTAATTGATAGACTACTTCTTATTACAAAGGTGATTCCAAAATGATGTTAGAAAAACAGATATCAATTGAGAAAATATAAAGTAAATATAATCATGTTTTCTAAGAACATGCATGTATCATAGTGTTATTCCCTCTATAATGTTATTTTATTCTAATCCAAATTATTTTAAAATAATCTGTGTTTGGATTCATAATTGCAAATGCCACTGGAATCAAAATAAATGGAGGTGAATTGCACTGTTCAAAGGTTACTATATGATTGCAACTCTTAACTGGCAATGCAACTATTCGCGTGTTTTAACCAGATTCCAGACTTGAACAAATGTGATGAAAATCAACACGAGCTCATCTCTGTGGAAACTGGAAAAGCAACAGATGTTGCTACTGAAAATAGCTGGGACTTTTGAATCCTTAGATGAAAAACATTTTGTGAAAAAAAATATTATCCTGTACACTGATTCATGGATAAGCCAGCTATATGTTATTGTTTAATTTAATTTATTCCAGCATCAATGTGTCAGTTTAAAATGACAGAAGCAATGTAGTGTAACCTTTTTCTTTTTTATTTTTCCTTTCCTGATTCTGCCTTTATACCATGCTATTCTGTCTTTCTAACTGAATTGAGTGTTCATTCAAATAAGAAGCCTGAAAGCTTTTTGAGTGAACATGACAAAATGAGTTTTATTTGACAAGTCTTTAATTAAGCTTTCAGAATACTGCTAACTCATTATATCTTGGTCAGGGATGGGACATATGTCACCTACACAAGGTGAGTTGGAGATGGATAAATACAAAATAACTGGGTCGAGGGGAATGTCTGATTGTGGTGAGACTACCAAATAATCAGTAACTTCTGCACAGAGGAAGCTTATCTTAACCTTACTATAGAAATTGCCAAGTCATAGACAGAGATTGGGAGTGGGGAGGAGAGCGGAGGTGGGAAGAAAAGAAAGAGAGAAAGTTCTCCTATAATGGTGGTTGTGTTTTATGATGTGTGCATTAAATAAACAAAAGTGGGGAAAAAGCAAATCTCCCACAATTAAGTCATATAATAATAAGAATAGCTAATATTTCTATAGGGCTTATTATGTGCCAAGGGTCTTTCTAAGCACTTTTTACATGTTATCTTGAATCCTCACAACTGTGTAAATTAAGGCCTGGTTTCACTGATATCACATGGATATTGTGAGAATTAAATTAAATTAATTAAAATACATAAATACAATGAGTATCAATCATTTTCTTCCAGAAGTCCTGAAATATAGGCTATGTGACTATAAATTTTATTTCAACACACAGGCACACCCACACATACAACTGCAAAATTCAGCCACGTAATATATTGTTTTTATTCCTTAAATCTATCCTCTTTGTCTATTTCTTCTTCAAAAATAGGCAGTGGTAAACTAAGCTAGTAGCTGAGCATGCATAGCATGTCCTGTATTACAAAGTAATTTTCCAAAACACTCTATATATTGCTCTGAGGATTACTGAATAAGGTCTGTAGCTATTTTGTTCCTAATGTGCTTCCAAAATTTCACCCATTGCCCAAAATATAGTAACTGTGAGGTTTACTTGGCATGCTCTGCATGGTCTCTATTGTGTTGCACTGAGTTGAACCCAAATTTTAAGTATAAACTTTTAGAGAAAGCATATGATGCTTATATTAAAAAATCCCATTTATAAAACATAAAGACACTGTGTACACTACTGTTTAATAATACTAAGGTTGTGGCACCAGGCACCTTTGGGATACAGGCTGCAAAACTATTAAGATTATGCAAATTGTTTCCAGAAACTTCAGTTTTCAAATAGATGGAATCCCTTTAAAACTCAACAAATTCTGCTCAGGTAGACATTTAGAGAGGAACAGAAATTTCTAGCATGTAGTCAACCCAGTGTTACCCTCTATTTCATACAAGCAGTTGGTCTTGAAATGTGTTCTCATGTACCAGTTTGCCATTATTACTTAAGCTAGGTCAAATAATTC